TTTGACAACATAATACTCGATGTTCACGATGTGGTCATTTACGACATCGCATGGAGTGCAATCCATGATGTATTGTGTAAACTCGATATATCGCCCAGCCCTACTTCCACATCAACGTAGCTCTGTGAAACTACGTCATGGCTGTATAAAGAGAATTTGCGATCCCCATGTTAACAGCTCTGAAATAATATGACATCTACTCTAGCTTGGGAAAAAACTGTCTGTTATCAGACCACAAAGAATGACCTGACTACCTCTCCCCACGGTCCCTCTCTCACTTCCTGCTGCTTAACTTCAACTTCACTTCACAGCTACCTCTGATAGCTGCTGTAGCAACTCCCACTGCAGTCAGTACAAGTGAGAGCCATGCTGAAAAACGTTACAGTGGTTTTGGGCAAATGGAATATTTCTAATTGTCTGACAGTGTTGGAAAGTAACAAAGTACATATACCCAAATACTGTACTCAAGTAAAAAACGTGACAAAAACAATTAGGCATATTGTTCTTAAATAATCCATGGTGAATTAATATTAGAAGATGAATCAACATTAACGCAGTTATGCACAACTGTGATCTTCTTTCATATTAAAAACGCCCTATTTTCATCAATCTATAAGGCGACTATGGCGTTCATATTTCATGTGATGCAAATCACTACAAAGGCTGGTTATGACCTAGAGACAACATTAACTCCCCATAACTTGCTCAACTGACTTAAGCCATTTAGATTAAAGAAACTCTTGCTGTTACAGGCATGTAATAACAGCAAGACTAGCTAACTAACCACAAACACCAGCTTTGTTCAAGGACTCCAGCCTTCTTTGTAGCTCAGAGCCGTACTGAATGCAGACAGGGAATAGATAGTTGGTGTTTCTTTTCTGGCTTTTAAAAAGTTAGTTTGGCCTTTTGGGGACGCTCGCTGGTCTTTGCATTAATGGGCGAAGACTGTCTTTAAAGTCATCTACATGACTTCCATCTGTGAATGACCATGTAGAAGTTTTCCTTTTTTAAAACAGCCAGCATAAAACTTATTAGATTCTTTGACATCAACTAGATTCTTAGAAACACTGTCCTGTTGCTATGAAGAAGTGCCTTTGAGTGTTTGTTTGAGTTTTGCATTCTGAATGAATATTTTATAATGTAGTCATTAAGAATATCTAGATCAGCCCTTAATGTCACCGATTTCAAGGTCCCAGTTAAAAGAAAAAGCCCGGAGAGGACATTGGAGTGATCATCAGAGGATAATGAGATGAAATGGGTTTTTAAACTGTTTGTTTTTCCCTTATTTCAGACGTGGCGCTCCGAGGGCTTCTTGGCCCTGTATAAGGGCTTCTTTCCCAACTGGCTCCGCCTGGGACCGTGGAACATCATTGTATCCTTTAACCATCTCATTAGTGCACCACTCTGTTTACATTTAGCCTCTATGATGCAATATCTGTAAAGCTGAGGAAATCAGAGCGGGGAATTTGATAATTCTGTTACGCATATGGTAAAGTATGGCATTAAAAGCCATGCGCCAGTGTAAGAATGCAAGCTAACTCTTTTAAGTAACTTTTTAAGCCTTGGTACCCCACTGCCCGAGGTTAGAGAGGACTCAGGGGGGTGCTTAATGGTGGGGTAGGAGAAAAATGAGTGGGGAGGGAACTCTATGAAAGTCTTTCAGCGAAGGCCAAAGAGTTACATGAGGGAAGAGAAGTCGTCATCGTGCTCCAACCAGGCCTGAAAAATGTAATGAGATTATTGACCTGTTCCAGCTGAGCAGTCTGAGGTAACAAGGAGCGGTAACAAGGCAGGCTTCCAACACATGGCAACAAAAAAAATCACTTTTCTCCTTCACTCTCTATCCAGTTCTTCCTCTCTTATGAACAGCTGAAGAAGATCGACGTGTGACCGGCGAAACGAGGCGGTCAATAAGAGACGAGGATGTGCTCACGCTCAGACACGAGCTGAGAGGACCAAAATCGGAGAAGGCTTGGATTGGGATGGATCCTTTTATGGACCTGCTGAAAGGGGTGGTGATGTAGACCCCATATGAGAGAGGCGGTTTGAGATTTTGTCTGATTCCTGTTTGGGCTACATGTCTCCTGAAGCCTGCAGCAAGTGTGGAAGACACTCGTGTTTTAGCTCATCCACACGCTACATTAAGCTTAACCGTGCATTTACATTTGAAAACGGCCACTTAAATCTTGTGTACGAAACTGCTTTAAACTATGTCTCGAATATCACAAGGGTTTTCTACACTTTAAAAGTGGTCTTCAAATTGAGTGCCTTAGTTTGCGATTCAAGCCGTCTTAAGACGCATTAAGACCAAGAATGTCGGATAGAGATGACCATCGCAGCGAGCGATCATTCCCTTGTTTGCTTAAGGACAAATGTTTGTGTGCACGAGTCAACAATCTTGACTAGGATGTGTTGGGTTTTTTTTCTTTCTACATTTTTTATTTATAGGTCGGGTGTGTGGACAGGTGGAATTATGTATTACTCCAAGAGTTTCCCTGAAGTATTTAAAGAGTTAAGAGCTAAGAATATATACCACAATGTACTGTTACATAACAGTCATATAAACACCCAGTGAGACGCACACACACATCACATGCCCATATGTGGCGAGACTAGTGGTCCCCTGATGGCAGCGAGTGCAGACAGTAAATATACCCGGGGGCGATGGGGCTTCCCTCTGAAGCCTACACCGCATTAGGTTTAGACCACTGATTAAGATTAGGGCAACCAAATTGTGACTTTTTATTACTTGAAGGCACTGAAACGAATGATGTTTTATCTCCAGGAGTATTTTCAAATACTGTATTTGCACGCTTTATACTTTTCATCCTAAAGAATGAATATGCTTCCCGCTCTCGTGTTTGTGTGAGCTGCCATCGCTGCCAAAGTGTATGCTTGATGTTGGGTGTAAAAGCTTCCTGTATATTTTAAATAAAAGAGGGGGGGAAAATCAGCCTGTCTGTGTCCTGCTTTGTTTTCACCACAGTGTGGCGCTGTGGAGCTTCCCACCACAACACGACCCAGTTGAAAAACCTAAATGCTGTTTTTTATGAGTTTAAAAAAAAAAAATCAAAGCCTCCACTTTGAGGCCAAAAATCTAGCACAGTTGTGTTGTTTCTGAGGGAATGCCTGGTTCCTTTCAAACACACATGTTCACGCAGAGTCCCACAAACAATGACTTCAATTATTCAGGAAAATCTTGAGATGTAATTGTTCTTTTATATTCCTGTTGGTAAATTCCCAGTTTTCCTTCATCAGAGCTGTTTTGAGGAGATGATGGGAGCTCGGGGGAGACAAACAGCAGTGTGTGTGTGTGTTGTTCTTTTATTTAGGGAGCATCATCATGGGACTTATTACTTGGTTGACAACTGTTATTGTATCAGTCTTATCTAAGCTACCATGAGCTGCACTGCCATGTTATTGTTGGTTTGACAAGCATGGTTGTGCTGAATAACTCGAATCTCAACAATGCCACAGAGCGTATGCAGTAAATTATAGACCTGAAGGGCACTTTCCCCAAACCGGCTGACGTCTATGTCAACTCAAGTCACAGAAACATCCCTCACTGCCCATAAGGCAGGTTGAAAGAGAGAATAATGTGTGCTGTTGGTGCCAATGTTCCATAAGTTGGCATTATAGGCCGCTGCCTGGCATCCCGTGTCTGGCACAGTCCTCTACAAGCTGGACAAGTACGGCCACAGGGGATTCCACCAGTCACAGACATGCTGCATTATGGGTATTCTTTGCTGCCTGACCCAAGGGTGCAGGAGGCCGGCTCTATTGTGTTCCAGGGATCAGAGTGACCCACTGTGTCAGAGGGATAAGGCTCCAAACACTCTGCCCCTTTCTCTTTCCCTTTTTTGTTCTTTCTCAGATGAAAACGCAGCTCGCTGAGACACACGAGTGAATAAATGGACGGATAAAAGCATGAGCGGATGGAAATGCAGACAAGGAGATAAATGTATCGGCGTCTGTTGATCCATTTGGAACAAGGAGCGTGCTGACAGAGAATAAAAATCGCAGGCCTATTGCTATTTATTTTTACTCAATATTGCATTTGAGATATGGGCTGAAATATAACAGAGTTTCTGAAAGATGCTTAGAAAATGCCTGCGTGCAATTGAGTAAAATCAATGATTTTCCCTCCTGAAAACACATTGTTTACAGGCCACAGTCTCTGCATAACATTAAAAAAAATCTGCTCAGGAAGCTGTCTGAAACATCTTTCTCCCGGAGAAAAAAGGGCAGCCTCCTGCAATTTGAAATTGTGCCTGGAGTGAATGTTGTGATAAATTGTACAGCAACGTCTGGTCTGAGAACAACAACCTGACAAAGTGAGGATGTCAAACCAGGGGAGGCAATAGATCCTGTGGAAAATGTCAAATGATGCTTTAGGAACTCTTTTGCATGAAAAACACAAGATGTCATGTTATAGTTAATCTCAGAGAAAGTCAAATATCAATGTAAGTCCCTGCATGGATAATGTAAAGTAATCAAGAAGAAGCACACATATTAAACAAACAAGGTCTAACATGTTAAATGAGCTTTAGATGTTCTGGTAGGTAGAATTATTTAAATTGTATTTAGTTCCTAATCGTTAAGCTAAGCTAACCAGGTAGCTTCTTTATATGTGTATAGCATAGTACATAAGATAGTAGTACTGTCATTCTTGTTGGAGCTATACATTAATTTGTTGTTAAATGGTTAATATATATATTTTCTAGCTGTTTTGTTTCTAATAAATGTACTATTATCTAGTGTAATTATTTAAGTTAATTAAAGTAATTCTTTATGATTTTATTTTGAAGGCGGTTTTGGGAACTCAGTTATTTGGGCACCAGGTGATTATTATATATTTGAGACAGGTGGTGGTGCATTTGGCGCACCAGACGAACATATGTTTTTTTCTAGGGAACATATGCTACAGGAGAGCCACAGGAAAGGCATCGGTAAAACCATTGTTCTGTATATGTGTAATATTGGAATACAAGAGAATAAACAAACAAACACAACGTTCTTGCCTGGACATTGACTATTCACCTGCGTTAGGATTTGCTTTCTGGTTCCCCAGAGGCAGTTTTAGTTTAAGTTACGTTTTCTATTGAACTTCTTTGTTTAGCCTTTACAATTGTCATCAGGTCCCCAACACAAAAACTGAAAATGAAAATTCCCCACCTTGTCAAAAATATTTCTGTCCCTGTTGAATCAGAATCAAAATCAGATTTGGGGTTTTTTGCTTAGGTTTGCCATACAATTAATTTGCTTTGGTGTTGAGAAACCACAGCAACACAATAGTTAAGATTCAGTTGAAATGTAATACTAATCTTGACAGAATTTTCCAGAAAGTCCATAATAAAATACTTATTATGTGCATTTCCATCCACAACTTTAATGCACATATTAGGAGTTGGTTCATTGATGGTGCCGTTACAGAAGAGTAAATTGAAGTGTGTCCTTATTAGTGTATGAACTGTTGAGTTATTGCCAAAAGAAAGTGTTGTTTTAGGTCACAGTGACCTCTGACCGCCACAATATACTCAATTTGTCCTTGAATCTAAGTAAACGTCTGTACCAAATTTGGAGTTATTCCCTTAACGCATTCCTTAGATATTGCGTTCTTGAGAACAGAGTGGACTGACGTGTTTCTGCAGCTTCTACGGAAGTTATAAACAGCCATGGTTGAAACGTTGGGCCTCATAAAGACAAAATATATTTGGGATTTTCTTTTTATTTACTTGAAAATAATCAGTTACCAGAAGAAAATAGCTCGAATGAAATTAACTTATTACATGAAAGTGAGGAAATAAATGACCAAATAAGCCTTGTTTAGAAAAATAATATAAATATGGCATTTATATTTGTCTCATGCATATCATTTACTTTACATGTAGTTTTTAAATGTTGTCTACATTCAACTAAACCAAGCAGAACAAAATCTATTTTCTAACTTTCAAAAATGTCACTTCAATAGACTTTACGAGTCAGCGCTCTCCTAACTGTAGCATCTTTAAATTGTTTCGGGCTGGCTGTTTATCATCATAAATGAGAGATTATTTTAAGAAAGGAACCTCTAGTTCTTGTTTGCTACACCTGTAAACATGCTCAAGTGCCTGAGACGATTATTCCTCTCAACATGAACTCCTGATCCAAACAAACAGAAGCCCCGCCAAATCACAGTGCAGTCGACCTACATTCACACATCACTGGAAGGGGACCGGGACCCCGGGGAGACAGGATCACAAGGATGAGCCGCTGCTGGTAATGCTGCTCATTGTTCCATTAAGACGGGAACAGGCCAACAGAGTGAATGTTAAAGGAGATAAAGGGAGGGGAGATTTGTTCTTCTTTGACTCTGTGACTCAAAGAGTCAGCTAAACTTAAGTTGTGTCATTTGAAGACGCTTTAAAGTTCCTGTGACATTTGTTTATTTTAGTGACCTTTTTGGTGCTTTTTTGGTACTAATAAGAGATAGAGTATAGTTCAACTTAAAATACGCGTTCTCTCTTGTTCCATGAAATACGCATATTCTTTGCCTGCAGGAATCTATCGCCCAATTGAACGGGGCAAGTAGAAAGACACATCGGGGTAATGAATCTAGAAACTAACTCACGTGGTGAAAAAAAAGTATAAAACACAGTTTTGTTTCTGAAGCTAATGAGGGAAATAGCTAAGGAATGAGCTATATTGCTTTATTTACATCTCTGTTGTTGAGAGTAGCCAAGCATGTTACTGGAACATTAGCAAGAAAATGGTGTTGATAAAGACAACTTTTATGAGCCAAAGTGCAAGTAAGCATTCCAGTTATTTTTGGTTTAGTTGGGCTATTTAGGATGTGGGCGAAACTATTGCAAAGATTTCCGTAGTATGTGAGCAAAGCATAGGTTAAATACTTAAAGAACAATGTTAAATTATAGGTCTATGTGTTTAATGTGAAGAATAAGCAGGGGAAATCTTAGCTTAGCTCAGTTTAGCTTAGCTAGAAGACAAGGAAACAAACAGCTAGCTTGGCTCTGTGAAAAGGTTAACACATTATACACCTACCGATTTAAAGCTCAGATTCCACCTCAACATTATTTTTCATATTTAACGGACAGACATGACAGTAGTTTCAACCCTCTTATTTAACTCTTTCTCTTCCCAAGTGTCTTCTTACGCTACAGGGATTATAGATAGAGAATATAATATGTCTCTGGTGGCTATGAGGGATAATACATTCATTGTATTTCATAGAGTTTCTGGGAAACAGCAACCTTTTCATATCGCTTTCTAAAATTGGAAGGTTTTCCGATCTTGTTGTAGAGACTGCAAGAACTGGGTTGGAGGGAAAAAAACAACTGCAGATGAACAGGGAATACTGCCATCAAAACATCTTTACGTCCTTGTCAGACGTGTTCAGTCTTATGTAATTCCAGAGGATAAACACTAGGCAGAGCTCATGAGCTAAGACATGAAACCAGAGGAGTAAACACACCATCTGCCTGTCCCTAAACTCCAGACTCGGTCTCTTTTTCCATAAACCGCTCAGTCACAGCTACCCTCATTAATATCCCAGCTTCTGATAAGGAATAAATATTCAAATATACAGCGCTATCAGTTTCCTTGGACGCCTGATTTAAAATTCCTTGCCCTGAGGCACAGAAGGCACAATCCATGCAAACACACAGGGGCCATCTGATGTGTGTTGGTGGCGTTATTGGGATTGCTCACTGACACCAGGGTTCTCCCTCTAAGGGTCCCTACACACCAATCCAAAGAACGCTTGCCGACGGACCCAACTGTTGTGTCGCCTCACGTCTCCTGAAAATCATATGCCCTCTCTCTGTAGATTTGTTCTGGCGCCGGGTCTGCTCCTGCGTCTTGGCCAACAGTCGCACTGGAACACACCGTAAAGACTTCAGCCGACGGCCAAGTTTCACGTACGAACTGCGAATGCTTGAGTGGCAATAACTCTCC